CATGATTATGTCTTACAAAGATCGTCCAGGTTCATAGTAGTATCTGTCTTACTCATTAGCTTTGACTAAATACGATCCCGTACATGTCTCAACTCTGTGGGAAAAGCTCAACCAGATGTTCATCCGTCTGTTTGGATGAATTACGTTATTTAGAAGCAAAACCATATGAATGTGATTCCTCGTTTATGTGGAACATGGTTTTGACTTCAATTACAACCGATGTGGCTTTGAGATAGCCATAGGGATGGGGTTGGGTGGGGGGCATGCTTTTTCCTTATTTACACTTTAGATAACTTCCATATGCATTTCTTTTTTCAGCAAATGTTTTATATAACTCGGTCCAACCAAGACCTAAGATTTCTACAGATTTTGTGCTTTCCCATTCAATCGTTCTCTTTCTTTTAAGTTCATACCTTAACCAGAAGTTCACGGCCATCCGAAGAAACGGGATTGCATTTTTTCGAACTAAATAAGGATGCATATAGTTGCAGTTTTTCCTCTTCAGTTGGCAAGGATCGATTTTTATCTACATGGCAGAAAGAAGCGGTTTGTTGTGCCTCTTTCTTATCTCAACAATGAGATTATTAGGTAACTTTTAAAAATGCCTAAAGAAGGGATTGGACTTCAAGTAATGTGCCTATTACACTACCTTGTGATTTAACCTTCACGGCTTACATCATGTCACTTCTGAGCCGAGGTTTATTCAGATAACTTGAGAATGCATCGCTCATCTCAATTACTTCACACTGGTGTGCTTTGTTAGAACTGGAGGATAAAAATGGTAAATAATAAGGGTGTAGAATATGGCTGGACCGGATATCACTTCTAGTCACGTATTAAATACGCTTTCCTAAAAGTTTACTATCTACCCTCATCACAGTAACCGGGTTACAAGATAGAACTTTTGGGATAAAAAGAAGGTGTATGATGTATTTTAGTTACCGATAAAATAACACCGAACAAGTGAATTGTGTATAAAGTAGTCTAAGTATTCTATTACTATTACTGTAGTTAATAGTAATACAATATGACAAAGCAAGAGAGCAAGTGTTTATTTTTTGTACGTATCACATATACCCGACAGCCCTCTTACTCTTTTTATAGAGTAAAAGGAAACATTTTAAATGGTCATGTCTATTCTTCTAATGCATGGCTATTGGCTATCAAGTAATTGAAACCGCCATATATGAAACGAAGGAGTGTGCCCCATTCGAAAAGTTACATCCCTTAACTTTAAAAACAGCCACGTTACAAACCTTTTAATTTTGATTTAGGAATGAAAATATAAAACATCGTACATGCTGCAAGTTTTAGGAATTTAAAAACGTTTACAAAGTTTTTTTTTTTCATTTGTAACGGACTACACTCGTTGTACGCATAACCCATTTAAAATATTTATTTATTATTATTCAAATTATATTATAAGTAAAAACATAATTTGAATAACAATAAGTACAATTAAATATTCTTAACATTATCTTAATAATTAAAACTTGACAATAATTATTAAAATAATATTCCAAATATTGTGATGAATATTTGAGCTCCATTTCTCAATAAATTTCTAACAATCACTACAAAAAAACAACGATTTTGGCACGAATTTGGCACGGAGCTTTGGCACGGATTTACCAAAATTCGTAGTGTATTTGGCACAGATTTGGCACGGATGCGTTAAATCCGTGCCAAATTCCGTGCCAAAGTTGTTTTGTCACCAGCTATTTGGCACGGCGCTGTGCCAAAAATAAGTTACAGTCCGTGCCAAACTCGCCTAATCCGTGCCAAGTCCGTGCCTATTTCAATGTTTTTTTGTAGTGAATCCTCCTCCATTTATTGAGAAATAAATTTTGCTTGCTCCTTTGCCAAATAGACTACTTATCAAGACTTATGCATAATTGAAAGTGTCTTAAAGATTGAACTTTCATTTAGTGCAACATTCTTTACAATATTTAGGATCATAATAGTAGACTAAGCTTTGAACTATACAACCACTTTGAAATATTGAAGATATTACACACACAAGTCTTTATACATTTTCACTTAAAAAACTTGACACTATTAACGGCCTTGTGTCCATATCCATTCATGAGCTCCAACAAGTGAAGCCTTAAACTTGGTGAATCGGCCGCCATTCTAGCTCACATAGGTAGATCTTTTCAAATTGTGTCCTGCAATTAAACACTTTATCAAAAGATCTATTAAGACATAGTCAACCTCATTACACATTGCAGTCTCAAGCACTTACCTCGGGATGGTTATTGTTCAAAAGTGCTTCAACCACGAAGTGACTTACTCATCATCATTGAACTCAAGATCTAGTGTTGTACTAGACGTTGAGTTGCGCTTTCTTTCACTTGTGATTATTTTCCAAGGGCGTTAACCACATCCCTTTTGCAGTTTTGTACACCATGTCCCTTGGCATCGCCTTTGTAAAAGGATCCGCCAAATTCACATGTGATCGTACAAAATCAATCACAACAACTCCAGAACTAATAAGTTCCCGCACATAGCTGTGTCTCACTCCTATGTGCCTTGACTTACCATTGTACACATGGTTATAAGCTTTTGACAGAGTTGATGCACTATCACAATGGACAGATATCGGAGCCATAGGTTTAGGCCATATTGGAATTTCCGACACCAAGTCCTTTAGCCATTCCGCTTCTTTACAAGCCGATACTAAAGCTATAAACTCCGAAGCCATGGTAGAGTCAGTGATACAAGTTTGTTTCTTAGATGCCCATGAAATAGCACCTCCTTCAAGAAGGAATAACCATCCACTTGTGGATGAATAATCCTCTTGATTAGTTATCCAACTTGCATCCGTATAACCTTCTAATATAGAGGGTTCACTCTTGTAACATAAGCCGAAGCTCATTGTTTTCTTTAGATATTTCAGCACTCGCTTCAAGGCTTGCCAATGAAATATACTAGGATTACTAGTATATCTACTTAGCTTTCCTACCGCAAATGCAATATCTGGCCGGGTGCTAGTCATTGCATACATCAAACACCCAATCACCCTAGCATATTCAAGCTGTGATACAGCGTTCCCACTATTTGGAACTAATTTCCAACTAGGATCCATGGGAGTGAAAACTGGTGAACAATCCAAACTCCCAAATCTTTTCAACACTTTCTCTATATAGTGAGATTGTGTTAAGGTGATAGTATCATCTTGCTTAATTATCCTAATTCCAAGGATAACTTCCGCTTCACCCATATCTTTCATGGAGAAGTTTGAACAGAGGAAAGCTTTTGTCTCTTTCACTTGCCTCAAATCATTGCCAAATATGAGCATGTCATCCACATATAGACAAATAATGACACCATTACCGTGCTCATTAAATTTGCTATATACGCACTTGTCTGATTGGTTTATTTTAAAACCATTTTTCAGCACCACCTCATCAAATCTTTGATGCCATTGTTTAGGTGCTTGTTTCAGATATATAAGGACTTGACAAGTTTACAAACTTTCTTTTCTTGTCCTTTAACAACAAACCCTTCAGGTTGTTTCATATACACCTCCTCCTCCAATTCACCATTTAAGAATGCAGTTTTGACATCCATTTGGTGAATAACAAGATTGTGAATAGCTGATAAAGCAATTAACAATCTTATGGTAGTTATTCTAGCTACCGGTGCATATGTGTCAAAGTAATCAATACCATGTTTTTGTTTAAAGCCTTGTGCAACCAATCTAGCTTTAAACTTGTCAATGGTACCGTCTACTTTCATTTTCTTCTTGAAAATCCATTTACAACCGATTGGTGTGCAACCAGGTGGTAAATCACTTAGAACCCAATTATTATTGCCCATGATTGAATCCATTTCATCATTTACGGCCTCTTTCTAGAAGGAAGCATCTTGAGATTTCATTGCCTCTTCAAAAGAGTTAGGATCCTCCTCAACACTATAACAATATAGTGTTTGAGTTTCAAGGGTCTCTATTGATCCCTCAACCAAATACAATTGAAAATCGGGACCAAAAGATTTTTCCTTTCTACCCTCTTACTCCGTCTAATTTCAGGCTCATTTTCATGATCTTTTTCCAGTTCATGTAAGTGTGAATTACTTGGACCGGGATCAACATCCTTTGGCCTAGGAATAGAAGTGAACCGCTTCTCATCAAAAAGAGCATCCCTAGACTCAATAACAGTGTGAACCGCAATTGAGTCATTCGGTTCAATAACATAGAATCGATAAGATTTACTATGTTCGGCATATCCAATAAATATGCACTCTACCCCCTTTTCACCTAACGTTTTTCGTTTAGGTTCCGGTAATCTCACGATTGCCCTACAACCCCATACCCTAAGATAACTTAGTTGGGGTGTTCTTTTGTGCCAAAGTTCATATGGGGTAATCTTATTTTTCTTGTTAGGCACTCTATTAAGAATATAACAAGCAGTTAACATAGCATCACCCCAAAATCCATTACTTAAGCCAGAATTAGACAACATGAAATTAACCATTTCTTTCAAAGTTCTATTCTTTCTTTCAGCAATGCCATTTTGTTGCGGCGTGTAAGGGGCTGTTGTTTCATGGATTATTCCAACGGATTCAAAAAACTTAGGCTCATAATATTCTCCCCCTTTGTCAGTTCTAAGCCTTTTTACTTTCTTTCCTGTTTGCAACTCAACTTCCGTTTTAAAAACTTTGAATTTATCCATTGCCTCATCTTTTGAAAATAAAAGATATATATAACAATATCTTGTGCAATCATTAATAAATGTGACTACATATTTTTTATTTCCAAAAGAAGGAGTCCTATGGAAATCACACAAATCACTATGCACTAATTCAAGCATGTTGGATTATCTTTCAACATTTTGAAAAGAATTTCTAGTGATTTTGTTTAACATGCGAGTTCTACATTTTTCTATGTTAACATTAAAAGGAGGAATTAATCCTGCTTTCGACATGTCACTTAATCTACGATAATTAACATGACATAACCTATTGTGCCACAAAGAAGAATCATGAACCATATAAACGGAATTAATTACTTTATTCACAACACTAAGTTTGAACATGCCATTACAAAAGAAACCTTGGCCTACAAATACACCACCCTTAGATAAGATAAACTTATTTGCTTCAAAGCTAAGTTTAAACCCAAAGTTATTTAGGATGCCACCGGAGACAAGATTTTTCCGGATTTGTGGTACAAAGTACACATCATTAAGAATTAATTTCTTCCCGGAGGTTAATTCCAATTCTACTCGGCGAATTTGCACAGTAGAATCATTTCCCATGTATAAGATCGGCCCCTCTTCCAACTCTTTTAGAGTCTTAAAGGCTTGCCTATCTTTGCATACATGCCTTGTAGCTCCGGTGTCGATCCACCAAGATTCATCATCCTGCACAACACAAATTTCAGAAAGCATAGCTACAAAAATCATGTTGTTATCAACATCATTTGTAACTACAAAAATATTCTGACCTTGGTTGTCTTGGCCACCGTTAGGATGGCCGTTCGATTGGGCCTTCTTCTTCTTCACCTTCAGGCAGTCCCTCTTGAAGTGTGGACCACCACATTCCCAACAAGAGCCTACTTTCTTATTTTTCGGCTTCTTTTTAAACTTGGAACCTTTGGTGAATTTCCCGGGACCTTTTTTATTTTTCTTAGTCCCACTTGATTGTCCCTCCTCCATAACATTTATAGAAGAAATTGGAAGGTCGTTCTTTTTACCATTGTCACATTCACGCAACTTAATGCCTTCTTCAATTTGAAGTCGGCGACCAAGTTGCTCCATTGACAAATCCTCCTTTTTGCGTTTGAGGCTATTTTTCACTTCCTTCCATGAAGGGGGTAATTTGTCGATTATAGAACCGAGCGCAAAGGTTTCATTTACATGCATGTTGTGTATCAAAAGTTGATCATATAAACGTTGAATTTCATGAAATTGTTCCATGACCGGACGGGAATCAACCATTTTGTAACTATTAAAGTTACTAATGAGAAATTTCTTACTAGAAGCATCCTCGGTCATGTACTTGGATTCTAGAGATTCCCACAACGTTTTTGCATACTCAACATTTTGATACACGTCAAACAGAGAATCACACATACCGTTCAAAATGTGCCCACGACAGATATAGTCATCATTGTCCCACTTTATGCGGCGGCGGCTTGTTTCCAAAGTCTCGTTTTCATCATCCTCAGGCGGCCTCGGGGTGCTTAACACATAAACCACTTTCAAAGTAATGAGCAGAAAATGCATCTTTTTCTGCCACCTTCGAAATTCCACACCTTCAAACTTTTCCAATTTTTGAAAATTGGTGTTGATATCACGTTGAGTAGCGGCCATAATTTCGGACTAGTAAACTTTTAGATTGTTAGATCAATGGTAAAATATAAGGGTGTAGAATATGGCTGGACCGGATATCACTTCTAGTCACGTATTAAATACGCTTTCCTAAAAGTTTATTATCTACCCTTATCACAGTAACCGGGTTACAAGATAGAACTTTTGGGATAAAAAGAAGGTGTATGATGTATTTTAGTTACCGATAAAATAACACCGAACAAGTGAATTGTGTATAAAGTAGTCTAAGTATTCTATTACTATTACTGTAGTTAATAGTAATACAATATGACAAAACAAGAGAGCAAGTGTTTATTTTTTGTACGTATCACATATACCCGACAGCCCTCTTACTCTTTTTATAGAGTAAAAGGAAACATTTTAAATGGTCATGTCTATTCTTCTAATGCATGGCTATCAAGTAATTGAAACCGCCATATATGAAACGAAGGAGTGTGCCCCATTCGAAAAGTTACATCCCTTAACTTTAAAAACAGCCACGTTACAAACCTTTTAATTTTGATTTAGGAATGAAAATATAAAACATCGTACATGCTGCAAGTTTTAGGAATTTAAAAACGTTTACAAAGTTTTTTTTTTGCATTTGTAACGGACTACACTCGTTGTACGCATAACCCATTTAAAATATTTATTTATTATTATTCAAATTATATTATAAGTAAAAACATAATTTGAATAACAATAAGTACAATTAAATATTCTTAACATTATCTTAATAATTAAAACTTGACAATAATTATTAAAATAATATTCCAAATATTGTGATGAATATTTGAGCTCCATTTCTCAATAAATTTCTAACATGCTTCTCCTTCACTGCACCATGAAGGATGCAGAAATAAAAAATGTTCCATTGGCTGATATCATTGGCATATTTTTGTAAATGAAGAATTTATCTGCTGAACCTCAATAGGTCATGCATAGTGTACAGTAGTCAAAGCGTATGTTTTTTAATTGATGTTTTTTGTCTATATTTAACTATCAGCAAACCTCATTAAGTTATATAATTGTCTTATTCAGTTTGTGAAAATTAGATTTTATAAATATTTGTGTCCTTAAATAAAAAATTGCACCATCCACTTTCTTTAGTTTTTGAAATCAGTATACAAAGCATTATTTCGATCTGAGCTCATTAATAGCTTTCTCATTCATTTACAGTGTTTTTAAGATTAAACACTTATTGCATATGAACATGTTTGTAATTGAATAATGAATATTCAATAGATCTCTTCATTCAGGTTATCTGCAGACAGCAATTACACTATTGTATATATAATCCATTTTGCAGATTTGAAATACAAGAAATATGTCAATCCCATTTTCTGCATAAAATAAAATTCCAGAGTACTGGTTTAGGCAATAGTTATATTCATATGTTTCACTATGGCCTATGTAGATAAAATAAACTGTAGCCTGAAAGAATTGAAATAGTCTTAAAATCATCAATATTTTCTCATTAAACTACATTCTGATCTAAAATATGTACTTTCACATTTATTATTTTATTGCATATAACTTTATACCGGATATAACTATAACTGAAAAATGCAAATACAAAAGTGTGACCTCCAATCTCTTTCGTTATTTATGTTTCTTTAATAGTGCAGTGTAGTTTCAGTATCCATGGTATTGGATAATGAACTCGGTGAAGTTTGTCACAACTGTGTGTGTGAACTGATAGAGTATCTTGTCCTTGGACATTTTTAACCTTAATATGCATTATGTAGACGATTTCTTGTTTTCTTTTCAAGAAAGAGAAGATCCAGAACTGCATATACTTTACTGCTGAGTCATTGTTTTCGTATACTAGAAAGAATTATGAATAATTGGACTTCCTTTCTCACCAGTTAGAGGGGATCAGAAGTTATAAATAGAGAGAGGTACTTATAAAATGTAAAAAATTGTATTTCCAAATAGTTGGAATATCCAATTCACCGTCGTGATGATCGTTTATTGAATAACCTATTAATAGGCTACGTACATCGAGTATTACAATTGCATACAAACTCTATCTATTCTATCTAGCTAATCATGTGTACAAGAATGAGTCCAGATACATTATTAGTTTGAGCCGTATGAGCTAAACACTCGGTCAACCGCCTAAGGGATAAATACTACCAATAATATGTACAATTAATATATATTTGAAATATAGTATAATGAATATAAGTGGTGACCGTGTGAGGATAATAATGCATGGACTTTGCATGATTAATAATATTGGCTAACACGCCCCCGCAGTCGAATCAGGAGGACTACGGACGTTGAGACTGGACCGGAATTCGTCAAATAATATTCTTGGTAAACCTTTGGTAAAGATATCTGCAAATTGACGGCGGGAAGGAATATGAAGAACACGAACTTCGCCCCGAGCAACCTTTTCCCGGACAAAATGTATATCCATTTCGATATGTTTGGTTCGTTGATGTTGAACCGGGTTGCCAGTCATATATACAGAACTAATATTGTCACAATAGACAAGTGTAGCTTTGGTGAGTGGGCAGCGTAACTCGGTTAATAAATTCCGAATCCAACAGGTTTCGGCCACAACATTTGCTACACCACGATATTCGGCCTCGGCGCTAGAGCGGGATAAAGTAGGCTGTCGTTTGGAGGACCAAGAAATGAGATTGTCTCCTAAAAAAACACAGTAACCGGAAGTAGAGCGCCGAGTATCGGGGCAGCCACCCCAATCGGCATCGGTGTAAGAAACCAAGTCCGTGAGTGAAGATGAGCCAAGGTGAAGGCCGAAGTGAAGTGTGCCCTGAATATACCTTAGAACCCGCTTAAGTGCATGAAAATGGGGCTCACGTGGATCATGCATGAACAAACAGAGTTGTTGAACGGCATAAGATATGTCAGGCCGGGTGAAAGTAAGGTATTGTAATGCTCCGGCAAGGCTACGGTAAAGAGTAGGATTTGCAACAGAAGGTCCATCCGAAGCACTTAGTTTGGAATGGGTGTCAACAGGAGTACTAACGGGATTGCAATCCGCCATGCCGGCACGGCGTAGAATGTCACGAGCATAAGTGGATTGTGATAAGAACAACCTGGAGGAATGCCGAGTCACTGAAATGCCTAAGAAATATGTCAACGGACCCAAATCCGTCATGGAGAATTCGGCGGCCAGTTGAGAGATAATGTATTTGCGGAAGTCGTCGGATGAAGCCGTAAGAATAATGTCGTCCACGTAGAGAAGGAGATATGCAGTGTGACGGCCGCTATGATAAATGAAGAGAGAGTGGTCACATGCACTATGAGTAAATCCGAGCGTAGCAAGATGAGAAGCGAACCGGTGATACCAAGCTCGAGGAGCTTGTTTGAGGCCGTATAAGGATTTCAAAAGACGGCAAACATGTTGAGGCCGCGATGGATCGCGGTAGCCCGGCGGTTGATGCATATACACAGTTTCCTCTAACCGACCGTGTAAAAAGGCATTTTTGACGTCAAGTTGATGAAGAGACCAAGAGTGAGAGAGAGCAATGCTGAGGACAAGTCGGATAGTAGCCGGTTTAACAACCGGGCTAAAAGTTTCATCACAATCTACACCGACTTGTTGAGAGTTGCCATTGACGACGAGCCGAGCTTTGTGACGTTCCAAAACACCATCAGACCTGTATTTATGTTTAAACAACCACATGCAACGAATAATATTGGAGTTAGGCGGACGGGGAACTAACTCCCAAGTCTCATTCTTAATCAGGGCACTAAACTCATCATCCATGGCGGCTTTCCAATTTGGGTCTTGGAGGGCGGTGATAGGAGACCGGGGCAGTGGAGATGGTGTTGATGAAACGGCTAAGGTGAATATTTGTTTTGGTTTGTGAATCCCGGCACGGCTTCGGGTTTGCATGGGATGGGAAGAAGTTTGGGATATGGGTTGGTTGCATGGGGCATGCATGGAACGTGAAGGGGGGATATTATTTTGGGGGGAAGGGATATTATTTTGGGAAGGGATAAGATGAGGATGGGTGTTGGAAGAATGTGGAGGGCTGACCGAGCCAGATGGAGTGTTGGCAGAAAATGTTGGGGAAGGTGTAGATGTGTGGTTGGTGGGGCTAGTGGTGGGAACCGAAGTGTGAGTTCACTACTAGAAAAATAGCTATTTGCTGCGGTTATTTTTGACTATTTGCTGCGGTTCTGAACCGCAGCAATTGAAGGAGCAGCAAAATGTAGATTTGGTTATTTGCTGCGGTTAATAACCGCAGCAAATAGAGGTTTTCATTTTTTTTAAATTCACTTATAGCAGCGGTTGGTACACAACCGCAGCAATTCAGCGCATAAGAATACCAAGTGTGTGTGCTGGCTTATTTGCGTATTATTATAGCTCCAAATTAATGATGGGCACGTTTTTGCTTTTTACACCAAATAAAAAACGTAACTATACACACACTCATAAAGTATGGAGTAATATTGTAATAAAATCGTTCATATTCCAAGGTACTCCGTATATACTAGATCACCAGTTCACCACCAATATTGTACGATTTAATGAAGTATTACAAAAAAAAGTCAAAAACATGTCTATAGTCAATACAACAAAAGTTACAATCTGTATATGTGGTATAATGTACAATAAATTCTCACAAACACATATCACCCATTTATCCCGAACTTCAACAATTCATTTATCACTTAAAGTGCTTTTGTAAACCTGAAATATTAAGCAACTCCAATTAGTACATGTCACTTCACTTTGAATGATTTATAGCATCAAGTAAATACTTAAATTAATAATGATATCA